TTAACGTGTAATCGGTTACCTTCACTGCAAAAAATAAATAAATAAAAAATAAAAACTCTTTACCAAGTATTTTTTGTTCTAGTTTCTAGTGCAAATATCTAAGTACACTTGAAATAAGACAAAACCAACTTAAAGTAACTTTTCATAAAGAAACAGAAGCTTGTTTTAAGTTAATAATTTCTTCATCTTGATGAAAAGTGTTAGTTATAAGTAAATAATCTGCAAGTGGAACAAGGCATTTCTCCTTTATTATAAGTTAAAATGTTTTGTGATATAACTAAAAAAATGTCATCAATGTGAATTTATTATTGACTTACAACAAGTTTCTATATTATTTCAAATGTAGTAAGATATTTGCAATAGGGACTAGACCAAGAAACAACAACAACAACAACAAAAAACACCTAAGATTTAGTGTTTTTTGCAGTGTTCACAAGTTATATAAGAATGAATCAAAGTTATTTTTTAGGAAAGTGCCTTGATATGGCATTTGTTGTGAAATGACTTAACTGAATTGAATGGAGAACCCATTCATACACAGGAAGTACCTATAAGCTCCATGCAGACTCACCAGGACCAGTCCTACCAACGGCACCACCATGCAACCCAACTTAACAACCAGAACCAGAGAGTTCATGAGGTCAGAGGGCATTTTCTAGCATATTGTGCTTTATTTTGATTTTGATCCTGGCAGGTTACTTGTGTATCATTTTGTGCCACTCCAGTGTTCTCTATCTTTATTTCTATTCTTTCAACAGATCTCTTCTGTGGGATCAAAGGGTTTTGTTTTATGTATGAATAAATAATAAACTAACAAAGATCAGGAAACCAATTTTCATATAATGCAACCACAAAGGCTTCTAACTAAAAACTAAATCTAAGAACATAAAAGTTTGATTTATTCTGAAAACATCAGAGCAGGAAATAAAAGCAATTAGTCCACAGAAAAGTCGATTATTATTATTATTATTATTATTATTATTATTATTATTATTATTATTATTATTATTATTTTTATTTATTTATTTATTTATTTATTTATTTATTTATTTATTTATTTATTTATTTATTGCTATGGTCCATTAACTGGCTCTGCCTCGATCTGAAAGCAACATTTATATAAGTAATAAAAACACATAGCTGAAATGATGCAAAAATGCTAACTTTATTTACAGCAGCGGATTGGTTGAAGACAGTTATTTAGAAAATAGTTTAATAACGGGTTGATGATGTGGAAATAAGTCAAATATGATTGACCTCGTACGGTGAGAGTACTCTGGAGTTTTTCTTTTTCCCCTCCAGCTAAATTAGCTCGAGCACAGCGTGAGAGTTAATTAGGGTCTCCGTCAGGATGATCAGGTTGATTTTTTTTTCTTTTTTTTCCTACGAGTCGGAGCTGTAGCTTTTATCTCCACCCACACCGCATTAATAGTTATCCAGAGTGAGTCCCGGAGAGGTTTACAGCGTTCATAGCCAGCCGCAGCTTTAAATGGGAAACTCTCTTCCTTACGGACGGATTATTCAATCAGTCTCCTGTCCATTCACGGAATACATACTCCCAGTCTAGGTCTCCAAAATAGGAGCTCGTATTGTCCACAGAGGGACAGTGGTTGGGACATGATGCTTCAAACATGTCCTCTCCCTTAGTATTCTCCAAATCTCTTGCTTGTACATGCAGGTTATCATCTTGGAAACGCGTGAGGTTTTGTCTGCTGAGAGGCAGCTACAATTTGGGCTCCCTGCGTGAACATCCCTCTCATGCAATCATGTTCTCAAAAAAAGAAAAAAAAAAAGAAGAGAAAAAGCAGCCAGAGGTCTCAGTGTTCACTTTGCAGCCTTCAAGGCCGTTTTGTGTTCTGGGTCTGAAAATTTGTTAAAATCTAAAATTTTAATAAATTTTAGATTTGTTTTATTAACAAATCTAAATCACAGAGCTATCAAAGTACAAGGCGCAAGAATCCCAAACTATTTTCTAATTTTCCTGTTTTATTGGGGGGGGGGGTTGAAAGCCTGTGAATATTGGTTCCCACTGCGTGCGGGAACAGTGTCAACACTTTTTGCTGAGCAATTTGTTTTCTATTTGCAAGTCCACCTGCGTCTCTGTGCGGGCCGCCGGCGCCTCGCCCCCCTCTGACCTTTGACGGAAACATCCTAACCGACTTTGTCTCCGGTGTTTCTGTCTGGCTCGGCTCGCTGAGGCTCCTCTTCTGGTCAATTTCCTCCCCGCCACGTTGATGAATTTTCCAAAGGAAACGCCGATGGCCCCGTCTCCAGTGTCCACTGGAGGCTTTGAGTCGCGAAAGCATTTTTCACTTTTCAGCTGAGGCTTTTTATTTTTTTATTTTTTTTCACGAGCCCAGAATGTGTATCCAGGCACTGCGAGCCTCTGCATTCAAATTACTGTTATTAAATGGGGTCAGCAGGAGAACAGCAGCAACACTACCTACTTATCCTCCAGAGCTGTGGTCACAGAGGACAGCTAGAAAACTCTGCATCCTGGTATAATATATACAAAGGGGGAAAAAAAACTGAATTCAATAAAACAGCATTTTGAGCTTTTTTTAAATCATAAATTAATTTGAAGCTGAGGGGTTGAAGATGGGAACTATTCCATAGGTAAACACAGATGTGCAACAGGCAGTGATTTTCAACTTGACAAATAACACTGAGTTATAGTACACACTTGCAATCTAAACAATTTACCCATACTGCATTTCTCGCTGTATATACAGGGCTGTGAAAAGAGTTTTTCTGCCTTACAGATTTCATCTGGGCTTTGCTCTCTTCAGGCAAATGTCAGTTTGAGAAAACAAAGATCCCCACTAACTTACTGACTTGCTCTTACTGATGGCACCATTAAATCTTTTTTTCTATAAAATCTTGATGGATAACATCCTGCCATCAGGTTATCACTTTAATCTCAAACCAGGACAATTACTCATTTATGAATGGCTGGGGAAAAAAACAAACAACTAAGTCAAATGAAGGTTTTGGAAAGGTCTAGTCAACACCTTGACTTAAATCCAACTAAGAGGCTGTGGCATGACCTTGAAAAGCCATTCATGATCTGTGATTCCCTTAATTCATAAAGTTACCATTTGAACACCATCTTCAGTGTTTACCAAGTTTTTGATAGCAACATTTGTTTGATGATATAAAACATTCAGATGTGATGTAAAGCAGAGAGAAGGGATCCGGACCCCACACCACACGCACGACAGCCGACATTCAAAACACCCCAACACTGTGGACCGTATCTGTCCCAGGGCTCAACAATTCCCTCAAGATTTTTTCCTCGCCAGGGAAATATCCCACTTTACTTCCCGCAGGGATGTTTTTTCCACCCGCCAGTGATTTTCAAGTCTCCAAGGATGGCTTTCCAGATATATCTCAATTCTTCCACTCTGTGCTGGAAATCTGTAATAAAGGTCAAAGCCCCAAGAGTTCTGCCGCGTCTCTCAGTAGTGATATCAGATGAGAGTTTCACAGCGTGCTGCAGAACAAAAAAATAAAACTCCGGTGAGTTGGTGCTTCTGAGGATATGCTTTTTCTGAAACATTTTTTGTTGTTGTTGCATTTTATGAAAGTTCCTTTTGAGGCGAAGGCCTGCCTGCTGGATAGGTTTTTGTTTTCTATTGTTGCAGGAACAAGATGTTCTGTAAACCTATAAGCAGAGGGATTAGGGGATGAGTCTTCTCTTGGCCAGAATGAAATAAAAGGACGGCTGAAAATATGCTTTTAATTGCCGAGCCGCAGGTTGGATTAGTTCGACATTGTGAGAAACAATGAGTGAAGCAGGCAAAGCTGTCCATTACAAAAAAAGGATGTCAGCAAAACACACTCATTTCATGCATCCATCTGCTACAAGTAGGCGAAACATTATTGTTTATAACAGAACCTGATTTTTCTTTAAAATGTGAAATGCTAATAAAGTACCCCTCTTGTAAATAATCAAATTTTATTTATATTTTACAACAGTGACCACTGAACCACGTTTTACATTAGAGCAGTGATAAAAATAGAGAATAGAATAAGAACAAAGCAAACAAAATAGCAACACTGGTAGAAACATTAAAGTGTCGCAGTGCTACAATGAGCTAAAAGCAGTTAGCTTAGCTGTAAACAAAACTATGGACCAGCTAGAGCAAATGAATGAACATGCCTGCTGTTTGGAGAGAATCCTAAAACTCTGATAAATCATGAACTGAAGTGACGTGTCAGTCAATAAAGACGCTCTAAAAGAAAAAACATCATTAAGTTTTACTAGTTTCATGTGGATTTTCGTGTGTCAAACACACAGAGGCATGTTCGTGTCTTTCCTACCTCCTCCAACTGGAGCTCATCAAGGCCAATCAGGAGGAGCTTAAAGACGGGGCCGGTTCCTTCAAGCAGATGCCAGAGTATTTCCCTCAGGAGTGATAATGAGGTGAGGGTTTGCTGACCCTCACCTCCACTGTTTCTCCTCCACACAAACTTCCATTCTCTTGTTCCCGTCAATAACTCACTTGTCCTTCCACACTCCAACCTGGAAATAGGGCCAAGAGACAATCGACAACCTCGACTGAAGTGTATTGTTTTTCATCTAATTTCAAAATCAATCTGATCATCTCAGATCTCAGACACCACTTATCTCCCCCTCCTACTGCTGTCCTGCATTGCAGCCATTAATCTGTAAAAATCATCTCACTGTACACGTTTACTAATAAACCTGTCAAGCTTCTTAAAGAGACAGAAGCCAATTTTAAAGTTTCAAATTTCCTTTAAATTATTTTTGATATACACACAATTTATATAACAACTGGAGGTAACAAACTAACTAAAGAAAGATGTGAAGTAAGGTTTAGAGATGCTGCAAAGTCTTTGCAGTTTGTTTTCTCGCCATGTTTCAGAAGCAGCGAAGACGCAACACAAATATTTGCCTTTCACCGATTTGTCTTTCAGTAAGATAAGGCGAGCAAATCTACATCTTATCTAATCTTCTCCATTTTTTTTTAATTTATTTTTGTTCAGTGTGAACAAATTATATTCACCCGCTTTTTGTTTGTCCTTTTCTAGTAACCGAGCTCTCTCTGTTCTTTTATAGAAAAAGAAACCAAAGCAGCATGACAACCCATGCTGAGTTTTCTGGCGTTTTAAGTGCCCTCCTCACATCATTATTTCAGATTTTGTAATCTTACTCAATATTTCAGAAGCATTTCAAAATACTTCCTTCACTGCACGCTGTTCTCCAAATCTAGCCAATATCAATGCAAATGTTTTTATTTTTAAATTTTTCCAGCCTATCTCTACAGTTGCAACTCCTAAATCCAAATTCAGGTTAGTATTTTTTTGGTCCTACAAACACGGAGAAACCTGGATGTCTTTCTGGCCGCTCACATAATATTCAGTAGCTCTCCAGTTTGCAGCATAAACAGTCGAGACTCGTTAAGGTATGGACAGAAAACATGCAGAGGCGTCCTGGAGTGTCTGGCACAGCAACATGAACATTATTTCCTCTGGTCTCTGGGGGTTTTAGCTCGGGAATTTTTTTTTTTTTTTTTTTTTTTTTTTTGGGGAACTGCGCCTCCGTCACACGACTGGCGTCTGACCCCATCGAGATTGTATCTGTGGGGTTTAGGGGCCAAATGTTCTTTCAGCCACTTCTCACCAATTTCTGTGATTATTTTTTCGCTGCTGTCCTGCTGGCTGGTTGTGAGATGATGCTGTCATGTCGCCGTGTGGGGATTCGGTTGCTCTTCAAATATTTTTAGGAAATAAATGTGAAAGCGAAAAACCTTTTTTTTTTTAATGCCATGAAAAACATTGAGTTCTGTGAAGATCAGCAGCATGAAGTTATGACTGGTTTGGTGTGTGTGTGTGTGTGACAGATGTGGATGTGTGTGTCTGCCAAATGTGGGTAGAGATTTCTTTCTTAAAGTGACAGGCTGTCAAAGAAATGCATTTCAAAAATAGGAAATCGGAACGAGAAAATAAAACGGACATCATATTGCATGAGAGATGACTTTATTTAGCTGGAACTCATTTGACTTGTTTATCTTGTTAGAGAACCAAGTTTACTTCTGAACTTGAGCATCATAACTAAACAAAATTAAAACCAAAATTCAGCTTTAAAGATCCAATGCAGCTTTGGGACAAAAATATGAAACATGTGGTTTCAAATCTTTCCTGTAAACTGTTTATTTTAAAATTTTGGCTTAACTGAGTTAGCATGAATATGAAGAATTTCCCCTCTCCGACGTTGCTGCATAATAAATAAAAAGTCCAGAGAAGAGAAGGCAACTCAATCATCAGGTCCGATAAAGACCGCAGGCAGACCCAGACAGATGATGCGTTTTAAATATGAGTTATTTAAAATATGAAGCCTTTTAAACAAATAGTGGTGCATAAAAGTTGATCCAGATGTTCTTTAGTGAATTGGATATTCAGGGTCAAAATTCTCCATTCTCTCCTCTATAATATGAATGTTTCACATTAATTTTGCTCTCTCAAGGATGCAGAAAGCATTTTCATTGCCAGAATGAAATAATTACCCTCCAAACAGCTTCGGTGACATTTATAAACAGGAATAGACATGGCACATGGTGAAGATTAAAATCTCTATGGCGTCATAAACTAAGGAAAAAATGCATAAATGCAGGTTTAATTATATAACTTAAGCACAAAAGGTGAGTAAATTTTAATTTGGTTGATTATTTCTCTACTGAAACAACAGATTTGGGAAGAGAGCTTGAAAATTGGAAAGAGTGTTACGGATTTGTAAGAAAATGTCTTTTTATGTTGAGCAACAGAGTCGATTGTGTCCAAATCCTCTCTTCCGAAGCCAAACAGCTGCTGGTGGAGGCAGCGGTGTGACGTGTCGGGGGGGAAAACAAGGTTTGTTATCACTGGAGGAAATCGCAGTGTAAAACAGCATCGAGATGAGACTCAGGAACTATTGGCAGACATCGTCTTGCCAACGGAGCAAACTCCAAACTAGGGTTAATAGCAGAGTAATCTGGTTTGGCATAAGCAGACAGGATTGGATTGTTCTTTCACTCAACCCACAAATGCAAAAAAAAAAATAAGACTTTCTAACAGGATAGCATTTGTTCCCAATAGGTATTGTCACAGCAAAGAAACAATCAATAAATTGCATATTTTCTTGCAACATTTTTGCATGGAAATTATCTGGATTAGTAGTCAATTTCAACTGGTTGCTTTTTCAGTAGAGTATGTGTCCAGATATTGAAAAGGCCCATTCAAAAGCTAAATGTTCGCCTACTTTAACAGTTCTAAGACCAGATTGGTTGTTTGGGATAATTGGTATGCTGGAAGACCCAAAAGTTTTAACAAATATTGTACAAAATGTCACCATCAGATAATATAAATGGTAAAAAAAGAAAACAAAAAAAGTATCCAGAAAATGTGGAGCACCACACAAGCTCAAGTTTGTCATAACCTACAAACAGTGGAAAGGCAGCAGAAGTGAAACAACCTTTATGTTGCTATGGAGTGAGAGAGAATATGCTGACCAGAAAATAAACCCCTACTGCAAAGAGGGTTGATAGAACTGAGCTCCTAGAGAAAAGTTTTATGACCAGACAAAGACTAAAAATGAGCTACTAGGCCTCTAGGGGAGATGGAAAGTGAATGTCTGCAAAATTCAATACGAGTCTTTCAAATTGAAGAATACAGTACCGACCTGCACAATGCCAGCCTCATGCTGTGGGACTGTTTTGCCCACAGTGGTTACAAAAAGTGGCTGGACTGAGGAGAAAGACAAAAAAAAGTTCATCTTTATCTTTAAATCCTGTTTGACAACAAGACTAGACTGTAGAAACGTCGACTCAGTTTGGTTGTTTTAGTACGACGATGATCCCAAACATATGTCAAAATGAGTTTAGTAATGGCTAAAACTGGCCACATCAAGCCTTGACCTCAGCTTTGTGAGGAACCTGAAGGAAATAAAAGCCAGGCGTGTCAAAACTTGTAAAAACTCTATCAATACCGCTGGAAACGGCGCTCAAATAACCAGCTGGAGCCATAAACGAAGTTTGTTGGTGGAAACCAAAAGGCATGTGGATGATAAGGGACATTTGATCAAATTGTACCAAAAGTGAATGTGAATACTCTTGAACATGGTGGATGGAAAAAAAATAAAAAATTTCATTCAAGATGTCTGTGATGGGGAATGACAGACATTTCTACAAACACATAATGATATTAGAAAATCCAATTTTATCACGTAATTTAACAATGTGATGTGAAAATCATAGTTGATAGTTGCCGAGCAACTTTATGGATGTTTCTTCTGGTAATTTGACCATTTATCTTTGAGCTCCAAGTTTTTGAGGTTGAAAGACCTCCTTGCCATCACCCTAATCTGTAGCGTCGCCTACAGATTCTCCAGTTGATTCGAGTCGGGACTCTGACCATACATGGACATGAAGGATGCTTCGAAACGTTGGTACCGCGTCAAAATAAACATGTTGGCGTTTTTGAAAAGATTACCTCAATCTGGCTGGAGTAAAAACAAACACGGACTCGACTGTGTGGATTAAATACCACTTGTTCTCAAGAAATGTTTGACGTTCCCAACCTTTAAGCTGAAATCGTTTAAACCACTAAAAGCTCAAAACGAAGAAGATATTTACAACCACGATGATTGTCTGTTAACCTCTGACCAGATTTAGAGAAAAACCAACAGATCACACACAAACGATTCCTCATTACCAAAACAGACAAAACTTCAAGATGAGTCACCGTCTATTAGGTCCAGAGAGCCACACGTTCTATATCAGAGCAAAACATCCCGCAGTCCCCAGACACGAGTCACCGAGCAGGATCTGACATTTAGGTTTGTCTTGAGCAGGTCTGAGTGAACAAAGGGTTTAATCTTGTTTTTCCATTTCATCATGACATTATTAACATCAACAACAGCTTCATTTAAACACAAACGTTGTGTAGGCAACATAAGACGAGTGATAGGAAAGACAGCCAGCAGTCGGTTCTTCTTGTGCTTTGATGTTTGAGGACTTGAGCATTAGTGATTCTATTGCTGCACGATGAAAAGCTTGAATTGGCTTTTTGAAGGCATATGCTAGAGGTTTCTCTTCTATTGTAAAGGAAAAAGGACGGCATGTGCAGTCAGTTTTAAATCATTAAAAAAACATTAAGGCCTTATTTCTTTTTATAAATGATATTTAAGAGGTTTTCCATCTTAAAAAAAAAAAAAAAGACGACGTCTAAGTCTTTCTGGTTGCTTCTATTCAGACAGACACTAATTTATCATTTTTTATGTGCCGTACGGGAGGCCTAATGTAATAACCTGGACTAAATGATGGTAATCACCGACTACCTGGCTACATAAATCATCACCTCACAGCTTTTAGCACATTAAGACCCCGAAGCCCAAACCACATTAATCCATCTCGATCTAGTTACAGTGAAGATTTACATACATTTTGAAACCAGCGTTTTACGGCGCTTAAATAAAAGATGTGACACTGGCTCTTAAGGGCACTCTCATCAAGAGGAATTATACCTACTGATGCAGATTCAGTGGGACTCCCACTCCACTGCTCTGTCATTACAAACATTCTCCAGACTGTTTTGCATCGTCATATTGCTGTCAAATGTGTCCTGACAATTCTGGCTTGAAGGGATAGCTTGGGTGCGTTGGAGTGAAGCGAGGTTGTTGTTCGCAACAGTTTCTTTCCCTGTAAATAAAGATTTATCATTAAAAAAGTTGAGGCAGTTCGGGAAGGAAAGGCAAAAATAATAGCAATAAAGCAGTCGTGCTTTACTAACTTCCTTTGCGATGAAGAATCCAGTTCTCGACAAAGTTGTTGCAATTTGACTTTTTTTCCGTCACGGGAACGGAAACTGTTACAAATAACGACACAGCTCGGTTGGTTCTGATGCGTTAAAAGAGCTCAAACTACAATCAGCTCTTCTCCGTGGGATACAACACGGTATTAGCCAATATCAACCTTAGGTTTGGTGCCGTTTTCTGAGCTGTAGGCAATGTCGTTGTGACTTTGCACAGTTACATAAAGTTGAGACTGTTGTAATATACACTAGTTGCACAAAGCAGCGAGGCAGATAATCCAAAATGTTACTTTCCCCTCGGCAGGCAAAAAAACCAAACGGACAACACGCAGCTGGTGAGAAGGGAAACAGCCAGCAGTTTATGCTAACATAGCTTTAGCGTAATTACAAAGAAGATGCTCAGTTAATTAAACAGCAACCAATGGTCTCCTAAAAAAAATCCATCTTAAACAGGATACAGCACTTATCCCGTGTTGTCCTGTTGAAATGTTGTTTTTGGTTTGAGTTGTTTTAAATTGGTAACTTTGCCTAAAATAGCAAGTGGGTCAGATTAGCTGTCAGCCTTTCTTCACAATATGACAAGGTGTGTATTTAGCGCATCGTTTATCTTTCACCATGATACATTTTTTATAAGAATTTTGATTTTGTCACCATGACAAATTCCAATTAATGATGCTTACGAAAAAAAAAACAAAAAAAAAACAAGCTGTCGCTATTGTCAGGTTGTTAATTTTACTATTTTCTATACTGTTTGTCCGATGAGAGAGTCAACAAACATCGATAAATTGGAAGAAATTAAGCAGCTATTGTGTGAAGTTTAGTGACTGGTATCCTAAAGAAGCGCATTAAAAATGGTTTTTCAAAAGCAGTGTTTGCATTGTGGAACTAAAATTACTGTGTCATGCAGTCACAGCTACGCAGCAACCTGTAATACCTTTTGTCATTATCGCAATAGTATCACAAAATATCGTGATATAATTTAAAGTCCATGTCACCCACCAGTAGAAACGACACCTGCCTATTCAAGGGTAAGAGCCAAACTACGCCAAACTATCCCTTCAAATGCAAAAACGTCTTCTTGGTTTGAAACCTTTTTTTCATGGAAGAACATTGTATGAGTTTTTACAGCGTATGACCATCAAACACGAACTGCGTTCTTCAAATATGGCTGTGCAGCTGAGTTCATCTAGCAAGACTGAACCTCAATTTGAGGCTGCACTGACTGCCTCTTGGGACACAGTATCTTTGAGAAAGCTCTTCGGAAGCTGCTGTGGCACAAAGGGTACAGGAACGGGTTGATGGCCGAGTTCAGCCACAGGAGCCAGAACGTGATCTCGTACCAGTAGTGCGCCACACATTCGCCGCCACAGGCGGCGCGGATGATCATGAGCAGAGTGTACGGAGCCCAGCATATCCCAAAAATACAGACGATGATGGCCAACGACTTGGCGATCTTTTTGTCTCGGGAAAGGCGGGATCCGGGAGTCCTCCGGCCCGGCGCCATGCAGGAAGCCGTGTGCTGAAACAGCCTGGAGTTTTTCCGGTGAGGAGAAAACTTCTCCCTCTGCACAAAAATCTGACTGGTGTCGGGGCAGCCGCTGGAGGAGGGCGACAGAATGTCATCGTCCTCTATGACCGCCGAGATGGCAGCAGGCTCGCTGGAGGTCACCTTCCGAGTCTTGACGAAAAACACGGACCAGGCCCCTGTGCCGTCTCTGTACTTCCTGGGTTTCCTCTGCGGCTTGGCCTCGTCCTCGGCACCGCCGTTGCCGCTCTTGTTCCTCCGGTGGATGTTAAGGTAGATGCTGAGGTTGAAGAAGGCCACCGACACGAACGGCGTGAAGAACTCGAAGGTCGACGCGCTGAGCAGGAAGTACCAAGTGAAGTAAAACTCTGCGTAGCACTCGTGGGCCGGGACTACGCTCTGGCCCACGATGGCCTCCCAGAAGATGATCGCGGGGCCATAGAGGAGGAACGCCAGCAGCCAGACCGCCACCATCTTCAGCACCGCCTGGCGTGTGATGTTCCTCTGCGCTCTGTATTTAACCTGCAAGGAGAGGAGAGGCACAGAGTGTGATTTAACAGTGATGCCCTCACAACACAAACTCTGCTCCATAATACATGTGTTTCTGTGACTAACGATCAGGCACAGCTGCTTCGGTGGCAACAGCCTGAAAAAGAAAAAACAACAACAACAACAACAAAAACGCTGGTTTCTTCTTCAGGATGAAGCCCTTATTGTTGCTCTGGTAGAGCAAGGGAGGGATGCTGTAAATAAGACCCACTCATGACGCACTTACTCCACGGTGTGTCACTGAAGCCAAACAGAGCAGGGGAATGTTGGGCTGAGAGCCACATTCACTGATGCAACATGGCTGTGAAAGAGACATCTGGTTTCCCCTCGCTCTTCCTCTCTGCTTTCTCTCATTTAGCTTCACCTCCTCACCATCATTCAGAAGGGCTCCTCTATTCACTGTTCTTCAAGTCTTTTTGTTCTCCTGTTCTTTCTTCCTTTCTTTATTTTTTTAAATCAAATTGCTTCAGTACATTGCAACAGCTGGGGATGTTGCTGCTGCTGATGTGGCTAAAGACCAAGTTGAGGAGAAAAGAAAAGCTGATAATGACACGGCGCCTCTTCGAGATCGGCCCCTAATTGGAGCTGGCCTGGATCTTGAATTGTTCACTACAAAAGCAAAGACACTTCAGCGGTAAATGAAAGAGATTAACGCTCCCCGCAGATTCGAAATGAACACTGAGGAGATGAGATTTCATCACGGCCTTTTTGAGAGCCGCCAGTCAACACGAGATCAAAATGGTCAACTCGAGACGCTGTGCCGCGAAATTAAATGATTTATCAAACAAAAAAGAAAAAGATTGTGAGAGAGTAAATTTATTATAGTAGCTCCAAAAAAAAAAATCAAAAAGACCTCTGTTCATTGATAGCAATGTATTATTCTGCTTCAATTGACCTTACAAGGCGCAGGTTTTTTAAAGGAAATTGCTAAGAATAACTAGGCAGAAAGAACAAGCCTATAATGTGGGTAATGGTTTTATTCCCAGATGAACTGTGTTTCCACCATCCATGAAACTTGACTTCCACAAAGCCCTCCCTGCTGCTTCCTCTCCAACCTGATTCTATGCCCACTGTACGAAATACTTCCTGGCTGCTGCATTACATAACTGTGACATCATCTGAGTAACCAAACTCTGCCTGAGATCCACCAGTAGCGAACCGGCGGCTCTGAAATCCCAGCGGCGCCTCAGAAACGTGAACCGTGTCGTTTCATCGTCAGCAGGTTTTACTACATCGACAGCTGAGTTTAACCCAAGAGGCGAGGCTCCAGGAAAGGGAAATTAGCTTTCTGCAGTTTTTGTTTTTCACTTTGCCTCTTTGATCAGTTACTAGAAAATAAAAAAAAAAATATTTACCCATTTAAACGGGCTGATTTAAGAGATTTTTTAAAACAGGCTTTCTATTAGATTATTGAGGAGCATTTAATAATCCCACCCCGGATTGGTGTCTTTTAATGTGGATTGTCTTTAAACAACTCCAATATTTAAAAAAAAAATAATCAGAGTGGTTTAAGCAAACGGGATTTAAATTAAACCTTAAGCCCTTATCATATTTGCATTGGCCAATTATTTAAAGGGAAATTGATGATAGTTTACACATGAAATGGAGGTTGGAGGCTGTGTGTCACTAATGACCTTCCTGGTTAAACTCGTACTGAGAGCAGAAGGTTCCTGGTTTTATTCGATTAAAAAAATTAAAAGCAGAGCAAAAAGCTAAAAAATATTAGTCTTTTAAATGAGCAAATCTTTGTGGAATCTCACGTGTTTCAGTTTCTATTCATCGGTTATTCTGACTGGAAACAACGTTTTCCATTTTCAGTATGCATTTCCCACAGGAAGATCGTTAATGGCCCACATTATCCTATTATAATTTAGAACTTTGGGCTTCGCTGAGCTGCAATTGATACAAATGTGATGATGGTTTAAGAGTTCACAATATAGCGTCCTCATAAAATGTTATGATGTCCTTGATGTTGGAGTTGGCTCAAACTGGTAGAAGATCATCTTTGGTCTTTAGCCAAGAGGTTCATCCTTCTGGACCAGAAAATCTGGATTTATCTCCCAAACAAACCAGATAAATCCACTGCAGCAGGACCTGACTTGATGTTGAAACGTTCCTTTAATGTGGCTCCACTTCCTGCACATCCAGAGGAACGAAGATAAGGCAAATCACCCAGACCGAGAAGAGATGTGGAGTAGCAAGGACAGCAGATTTGGTTAAGTGCTCATTAGCGCGTGCAGCTGATCTGGTCAAAAAAATATGGACGTTTAAAGAGTGGATGTCTTCTGAGAGCATAGCTCTCTTAAATAGCATGCAAATAATCTGCAGCATTAGAATTTGCTGCATCTGGAAACAATATTTTCCTTGTTTTCATGGTAAACTGGAGCCGGTTGTGTATTTACAAATGCCAGAACATTCTTTAGGAGCTATCGATAGGACGTAGGCTGTCACGAGGGTCTTCTGCTACGACACGTTTAAGTACGAAAAACGTGATTTCAGTATTTTTACCTGACATTTTAAAAAGGGATGAAAATCACAACCTGATCAAACTGCTTTTATTTTAAACAGAAAACAACCATTATTCAGATTAAATCAGCAGGTGATGCTCGTTTAATTTCTCGTAAAATGGACTGTTTTCCACAAATGGAGAAATGCCGGAGCCTTCTCCAGCCGAGCATCAGCACAGCAACAGATAGGGGAGGGGCAGAGCAGAGCTATTTAATGCTCCAAATTGATTTTTTTTCCCTAAGCATAGAGAACTAACTAACGCCTTCTGACCAGCAGTTCACAGCGACAGGTGGGGTAAAACAGCAGCATCACATAAAGCAGACAAATACATTTTTGCTCATGCTGGTTTTCTATTCAAAGACATTGAAACTAGTAACTGGAATCATGGGAAATATTGCAGTTTTGAAACTAAAACTGTCTTCACTGCAGACAGAAAAGACTTTGTTGCTAAAACTCAACTGGAAGTCAAACGATTTGCTCGACTAATTATTGATCTGAATAATCAAAAGACAGATGATTATTTTTTTTATTACAGAGCCAACATGTGGAGAAACAAGTGGAGACATGAACTCATATAGGAAATAAAGAATATATATTTATTAAAAACCGGGGAAGTCAGTGACATCTTGCACCAAAATCTGCCTTTGGGGGGGGAAATGACACCTTCTTCGAACTGAATGTGACTCTGATGTGTGTGTGTGTGTGTGTGTGTGTGTGTGTGTGTGTGTGTGTGTGTGTGTGGGGTAATGAGCATCTTCACAGGCTGTACTTACTGCTCTGGTGACTGACAGGAAACGGTCATAACTAATGAGGACGATGTTGAAGACGGAGGCGGAGCAGAGCAGGTAGTCCATGACCAGCCAGACTTTGCAGAGCCCCTTCCCCAGCATCCACCTGCCAGTCAGGTTGTAGGGGATGTACACTGGGATGCAGAAAGCACCTGGAACGCACACACACACACATACAAAAGATATACCGCATGATGATTCAACGCCTCCAAATCATTAACATTCCCACCTCTGCACCGTCTGGATGCCAGCCGTTTTTTTTTTTTTTTTACAGGTGACAGTTTAAAAAGATTAGGTGCAGATTTCGGACAGTTTCTCCCAGCAAATTTGTTAATTACCCTCAGCTGAAGTAGTGACCTATAGAAAGGAACGTGAGCGCCCAACTACTATAATAATAATAAAAAAAATACAATTATGCTCCTCGGTGCGTAAAAATGCCCGTGAATAATGACAAAGACCACATTTAGAAGAGGAAAACACTCCAATGTATGTGTCAGAATACGTGTCGGATCGTGCGTAATAAGCACTCGCGAGGAGAAAATATGAGCACGTTAGAAATAGAGATATTCTCCCGAGAGTGCCAACTTACCCACGAGAAAATCGGAGATGGCGAGGTTCAGAAAGAAGTAGTTGCTCTGATTCCTCAGGGTTTTATCCACGATAAAAGCCATGATGACCAGCGCGTTCCCGGCCACCACCACGATCACCAGAGTCACCATGAGGACCGAGAAGATGACCACCAGGTAGCCCGGCAGCACGATCCCAGCCTCGGACACCGCGGGCGTCAGGTTGGCGCTGGAGTTGGACTCCAGGATGTGCGCGCCCATAGTTAGAGCCGAGCTGCTCTCATTGTGGGGTTGATGCTACGCGGAGCGCGCCGAGGCGCAGCAGAGGTCCGGCGGCGCGTCCGAGAGTTCCGCTCCACTTTAATGTGGAGCCGACTGGAGACCGGAGACTGGATGAATTCCCCAAATGTCCCATTTTTCCCCCTCTGTGGAATACAAAACTCCCCCTTTTTCCCTGGAAGATGTTTTTTTTTTCTTTTTCCTTTTCCAGTTGTGTTATGATTATAACGCCTGTAGATCCACTAGGTGTTCTCTCTCTCTCCCTCGTTGACTCCCAGTTATCAACGGGATGTGCTGCGGGATGTGCGGGTACCACGGCGCGCACAGCTGATTTTGTCACCCGTGTCAAGTCGACCGTCTAGTGAAACCAGTAACCGCTCATAATGTCAGAATAAAGCTCCCGCTGTACTAACAGTGTAAAACATACGTCCAAAGATACCAAATTCAAGTGGAAAGCTTTTAAATTTCTCTCACACAGGACTATTGTTTTTATTTTATTTATTTATTTATTTATTTATTTATAAAAAAAAACAACAACACAACAACCGAAATATTTTCATTTGGATAGAAATGGTGTGAGAAATGTTGCGCTTTAATTTGAAAAGGAAGCAATTTCCGGTGTTTTTCACCTTACTTTATTGAACAGCTCTCCAAGCAATTAAAGTACACTTGTTCTTTCAGGTTTTGTTGGAGCGCCAAAATGTCTACAATCCCTGCACAACAACAACAACAACAACAACAACAATAATAATAATAATAATAATAATAATAATAATAACAAAATATATCAAACATTCATATGCAAGCATTTTGATACAATTGCCATTTCATATACAAATAAAAATAAACTGTATGGCATATTTCTAAAGATTAATTTTAAACTTAACTGCAGAATCCTTCATTAAAATCTTAACTCACTGTAGATAAGTCAGTCTTTAATATCTCTGTATTTAGTTACTAAACTGGAAAAAACCTTAATAAAACTATTTAGAAGCTCACATTTATATCACTCTTTAGAAATTAAAGACAGTTCAGCTCGGGGTCAAGGTTTATTATCCCGGGGGTAAAACATGAAGCATAAAATAAGAGATGCAGTTGAAAGGATTAGACCAAGGCACATGCATGTGTCAGAATGGCCTAGTTAAAGTCCAGGTCTTAATGTCATGTGGAAAGCCTTTGAACGTGAGTGTTTTCTGGTTCTTTTAATCAACCCCGACTGGTTCCTGCTAACGTTAGCAGAGACATACCGGAAAAGACTCGCCGGTATGTCTCTGCGAGTCTTTTCCGGAGACTCCGCTTCTCCGCCGGTGTGCGGAGAAGCAAAGCACTGGCGTCAAAAGCATGCCGCACTTTTCAGATTTTGATGAAAAAGTTTCAGAGAACAACGCGACATCTTCACAGTTGTGCGCAACTTTGTTTTTATCGTTTGTGTTTGTCGCATAAAACCAGCCCCAGGGTTATGAACACTTTTGCAAAACAGGAAGTGACAGTAGGACATCTGGAGATGTGGATCACAAAATGCAAAACCTGGACATGTAATCTATGCGATAAAACGAAGCACCCTCATGAGGTTCGTAAACTTTATGGAGGCAATTGCGCCGCAGCAACTGTGAACTTTGGATTGGATTCTCTCTAAAAAGGCGTGAAACATTTAGTTAGCTAAAGGCCCTCCAAGGAAATAATTAATAAAAGGCCGTCCACACGCAGCCAGAGGAAAGTTTCATGTGCTGCTCCTCTCTCTGACGCCACAGGTGGATCCAGTGCAACACAATCAGCCATCCCATGTTATCTGAGCTCTGTGCTACATTGTTCAGAAAGCAATCTGTGAATGAAGAAAATCACAAATGTACCAATTACTCACAAGGAGGCAAAGATGCAAAAACGCCAAAAAGAGAAGAAGAAGAAAAAAAACAACTACCACCTCCCATCAGAATGTCAGACAGCAGAAGCATTGTGGCTCAGCGATGACAAAGTGGCTGCGTCTGACGCAAAGTGCTCGACAGGCAGGTGGCAACTGTCACAGCACATGACAAAGTGAAATGAAAGGGAGCGAAAAGATCCTCAGGAGGAAAACACTTCAAATGGTCAAACGTTGACAGAAAGTTCGTTTTTCGCAAACTGTGTTCGATTTATTTATTTTTTTATTTTTCTTTCTTCTGTGTCCGTGGTGTACTGGAGCTCAGTAATATATAGTTTAGAAACTTAAAAAAAAATCCCCTTTTTGACAGATTGACATCGAGTTCGTGTGAAGAATTAATATTCACATTTATTGGCTTTTGTAGTTAGCCTTAGTGCATCATGTTGATATCGGCTTCTGGGCCAAATCCTGACAGGTTGACACTTTGATGAAATCACGATGTGTGGATTGTTAATCTGACAACTTTCTTTTCAAAGGGGCAGTATCGTGTTTTCCAGGCACAATCAAGTAACTGTTACCTTCAGATGTTACAAAAATGCTACATGTATCAAATGTGACTTACAATACATTTTACTTTATAATTTAATGCTTCTCTGTAAAAACTCCTGCTCTTTCTCAAACTCCGCCTTCAGGAGGTCATCACAACATGGCTTTACAAACATCAAAACAGTCATTTTGACTAAATGTTGCTCCACAGGTTCTCGGTAGAGTCAGGATGTGGGGAGTTCACCAGGAATGTAAATGTAATCCTGAAGCCACCGTTACTGGCTCTCTTTGTGTCCCATCATGTTCGTCTCTACATGACTCCTCAACCAACAGACAAAGTTGCTGAGGATTTTCAATTGCAATTTTTTTACAGCACTTTTAGGCAGAACTCTCGGCAAACCCACAGGAATGGTCTCTGAATGCTTCTCTGGCCTGCTTTTGTTTTGTTTTCTGCTGGAGTATTCCTTGTACTTCCTGCAGAATGACAGTCTGTCCATTTATGCTTTTCTTGAAATTACGTGGCTTGTTTTCTGCTCCTTCACATCAGGTTGAAGTCTGAAAGTTTTCAAGTCTAAGCAAACTTTGCTTAGAAAAAAAGCAAAGTTCTGGTGTGAACCTGGAGCTGCAATCGAACATCCATCAGGGGGGAAAGGCTTTGAACTTTCTAGTGTTTTTCTCTTTTTTTCCCTCTTGATTACTAGTTGCATCATCCTCCCCTGTCAAACCCAATTAGGGTAAAGAAGTGATGACCGCAGGCGTTTTCTGGTTTGCAGCAATGGTTGATAAGATAACAATTTAAAGCTGCTCTTCTGATTCAAACGGAAGAACAGAGTGAAATCAGCTGCCCTGTCATCTGTAACGCTCTTACCTAACCATAAGATCATTGGACCAATGCTGCATGTTCATTTTCATACTGATTCAATACAAACCTCTACTTCCTGAGCCACCGCCGCCCAGGCTGTATATATTTATATACCACCAAAATCACAACACAAGAAAAAGTAAATTCAATCCAGTCATGAAGAATGAAGACGTCCCTATCCTAGATAATTGCTGCAGAAAAACTGTAATGGGAAGAAACGTCTCAGTGTGAACGGCCATCAGTTCATCTGCCTCTGGAGGACGGTCATTAGATCACATGACCTCTTCCATCGCTCCAGAGTCTGTTCTTTATAACTTCTTGCAAATTGAACCGTTTCTCCGGTTCGCCTCACTGAGTTGTGGTTTTCTTTCGCTGCAGAGCCCCGATACCTTTAGTTCACTTCATATTCCACATCCACATTCATGTGGAAATACTCTCACTTTCACTATTAAAGCACAACCACTGTTGTTTTTCTTCGATTTGACTTCACAAAACGTCTCAAGGCGTGCCGGCCAACACCAATCGGGATTTTGCTCTGACCGCATTTCTTACCTTGCAGATGATGATATTCTCCTCGTTCCTTGTGGTTTTTAATGAGTCGGTCAGATCTGAGCTCGGTTTCAGTAGTTTCTACAATCTCCTTAGACGTTTCCCCTGCTTAATGTGAGCCGGTGATTTGACCCTTCGTTAAAAACCAAATCATTAAAACCATTTATTTTGCTCAGTTGAATCCAGGTGGTGACTTTTTTTTTTCTTTTTTTTTGGACCAGTCAGTGTATTTATTAGTTTTTCCCAACACTTTTGTAAACATTGGGTGCTTTGACCTTCCATACTTGTGATTTTTAACTGGAAACATGCTTGTATTGTACATATCTACACATTAGAGCACAAAAAAGATCTCCAATCTGTCTTCAAGGATGTCACAGTTCTTCCAATAAGCGTCACCTCAATCACCGGCAGGAAGTGTACGGGTGAAATGTGTAACCCTAAGACAGCTAATTATTCTCCCCAGTCTTCAATATGAATATGAGATCACTACAAGTTCCCCCCTAAAAAATGATTATGGGTTGAGATGATTGGGTTCAGTGTGATGACGGCTTGTCAGAGATATAGAAATCTCCGCTAAGTGAATTAGTTGTGATTACTCCTAATCGTTGAAATGTGCAGAAATCCAGCATGTCTCGTGTGTGTGTGTGTGTGTGTGTGTGTGTGTGTGTGTGTGTGTGTGTGGGTGTGTGTGTGGGTGTGTGTGTGTGTGTGTGTGTTATCTTTTAAATGAAATGTCAGTCTGCCACACGTGCCTCTTCTATCTCCCCGGGTTTCAGAACTTGTATCATACAACGGCAAATGTTTCCGTGACGACACCTGACGGAAAACCTATCCACCGAACTCCCGAGGTTTCTTCGGGAGAAGTTGCCTTAACATGCAAGGCGGTGACCTGGGCAGACTGGAGTGTCACCAACACGGAGAGCTGAGGAGGCTGAGGAGAAACCCCCGGAGGAGCCGGAGTGAAGTAAACGCTCCGAGAGGACGGGCAGCTGGGAAAAGCTGAATATTTAACAGGCTTCATGCGGATGTCAGATGCGGATGGGAAAATTGGGCATATGAATAATGTGAGTGCGTGTGTGTGTGTGTGTGTGTGTGTGTGCGTGTGTGTGTGTGTGAGAGAGAGTGAGAGAGGGAGAGGGCGTTAGTGGGGGTGACGCTTCATTTTGTTGAGCACTGATGTGTATCGGCACATTTCTGTGAAACTCTGGACAAACTGGGTGTGAAATTTTAGTTTGGTTTCCGATTTGGATGGAAGAGAAGAACTCTGAAGTTGAACTTTTGGAGGAAAAGGTTTTTCTCCCCGCCCCCCAACAAAACCCCCTGCAGTCTGTTGATGTCATGGTTTCTTTTTAATTAAATATGTCCAGCTGTAAACACGTCATCGAAGACTTCTTAAAGGTAAACAAATACATATTTCAGACTCTGAGGTTTCAGCGTCGTAGAGAAGTGGGATTTGGTTTTTGTTACATGTCAAAACCAGAAACTTCAGGGGGGTTTTAGGGTCATTGAAAGTGAAATGAAGTGGTGCATAACTGTCATGTGTGGGGTTGAAAATCTGAAAAGTGTGGAGTAAGTTTGTATTCATCATCTTTTTACCCCAAAGCCCTTAAATAATATGTAGAATTACAGAATTTAGTCTCAGCAAAAATCAGAACCATATAAAGAACCTACATAAACTTGTTCTTGATAGAATATGTTTCCTGTGTGGCTTCCAAAAAATATCAGTGTAAATAGATACAGTACAGTAAGATAGATGTATGAAGCTTTATTAGAGTCTCCACTGGTGAAAATACAACAGAACCTTTTTTTGGTCGTTCTTGCCCAAAGAAACCTGAAGTTTCTGGTTTTGACATGTAACAGGAAAGCTTACTTTGTCCTGTAAGTTGGTACAGGACAAAGCAAAAGCAAGAAGGTGGCAGAAAATACTCTACATCCCTCTTAGCAACCGGTGAAACACGGTGTTGGCAGTATCATGCTGTTTGGCTGCTTTTCTGTTGAAAGCAGACGAGAAGCGATTCGGGGATTATGCACCACTTTGTGTTGGACTAACATATAAATCTCCAGTCAAAATCACTGAAGTTTTGTGGTTTTCAACACTTCAAAAGTATTTAAAGTGTAACTTTTCCCCGCTGTGAAAGCACAACTCTGGCAAGTTATGACAAATCCCACAAAAGTGGGCAGAGCCAATAGAAACGGCCAGAAGTGGAGAAGGACAAAGAAACGAGAAGACAGAACCCTAAATGACATATTTAGACACTTTCTTCCTCAGCAAAATAAAAAGTCAATCTGGAGGTTGGTTACACTTTAAATATTTTTCGCAAGGCACTTTCAATAAATTTTTTTTTTTTTTAAATACAATTAACGAGATAAGTAAACGAATTGAACTTCCCGACAACACAAAGTCAACGAGAGGCTTCTCGTTTATTTAAGAATCAAACCGAATCCGTGTTTCCTCCGAACTTCACTTCGTCTTCTTGCTTTTCGATCTCTTGGTCTTTGCTCCCGACTTGCAGGCCTCATCCTGTGAAACAAAGAGGACGGATTTAGAGAACGAGCAGACTAATGATTATTTTGCCTTGGTGCTCCATTTAACTGTGCCAGAGCTTTGTTCCTCCTGCAAAATATTTGAGTGCCGCTTTTGTGGCTCGTGACAGACTCTCTAGCCCAAACTCCCACTGCGTGTGCAAATGTGCAAATTACAATGCGGTGATTGACGTGCACCACACTGCTCTAATGTATTCTAATAATTGCATCAAACTAAACATTGCATTCCTAAGTACTCTTATCAAACGTCCCCCGCCTCGCCCGCGACGCTTCCCGGGTCGTAGGCCGCCACGGCTCCGTCGCATACGACGGGGAGACGCATGTTTCCCAAAAAATGTCAAATTCCTGAACGGTCATGCATACAAAGCCCTTTGCAATAGTTTCAGTAGCCTTTTTTTTTTTTTTTTTTTGCACTCCTAAGCTGATTCAACGCAGGTTTTCCTCTGAGTTTTGGCAAACCGTTTATAAAGTGACTCATATCCTGCAACATAACTGGCAGAAATCTTTTGCTCTTCAGGTGTAAAAATGGCCGTCCAGCTTGTTTTCTCTAAGGGTTTATTTTTATTTTTTTTTTACTTCCTAGTTCCCAGTTCAGGTGCCAGGAGATTTCATCCAATTTCGGCATCGACTCTGGCAGAGCTCTTCGACGAGAGGGGGAGTAAAAAAAAAAGATGCTGTTAATAAGGTTTCAATCAGTAGCATCGCCTTGGAAATGAAACCGGCTGCAGCGTCAGGGTTAATTTTATGTTCTGTTTCTTTTCTTGAATAAATTCATTGCCAAGATTCTTGGCTAGGCAATTTTTAAAAATAATTTTTATCAGTCTCACCCTATTCCTAATTGGATCTCTGCGACAACGCTGGCCCACAGTGAGAAATCCCCTCACTCTGGGGACGTCTGGACCGCCAATGGGTCAAAAGCAAACAAACAAACAAAAAGAAAAAAAAAAATACACGTTTTTATTCTGACAGGAGCGTTAGCTGCCTTGTGTTTCGCTATTCCATGTCTCCTCTTTGTGTGGGAAAGCTGTTTGAATCGCAAGCATATCAGAAATGCCCGCAGATTAAAAATAACACAAATTATCCCCAGAGAAGAGGCTTCGCTGTCGCCATCTGTGCAGCCATTAGGCAGGAGAGCCGCGGCTCTCCACACCGACCCAAAACACTGGAATGAAACGCGTTCGAGACAATCACATTTCCCTCATGATAATTTGCGACCACTTAAATAATCAAGGGAACATTTCTCCCCCCTTTTGCCACCGTCGAATTGTGATGTGTTGTTAATTAATGACCAGGCGCATGAAAAGAGAGCAAAACACGTCCAAACGGACCTCATGTCAGATACCGTGATGCTGCGCCTTTGTCATTATAGTCAGGGATTCGTCACGTTGGCAATATAAATACCACATTTTCCCCCATTTTTGTCAACTTACAGCCACATGTAGCAGCTGAGACTGTAGTAGAATTAAAACTCTTCATCGTTTATGAAAAATCTATTGCAAATAAAACCTTGAAAGGTGTTTTATGCTTTTTTATCAATCGTTTCCAGAAGGTACGTAATTAGCTACTAGCATTTAACTGTGTGTAATTTAGTCTCTGTATGAATCCAGCTGTTTTACGAAGGCCTCCGAGGTTTGTTACAGAACAAACGGCCTTATAAAGTTTCTAGATGCCAAAGACTGGAACACATGCACTCAAAAAATAAAGTAAATAAAAATAAAAAAACAAAAAAAATCCTGTAATGGTTTTGAATCCAGAGGTTAGGAGGCGCATATTCTACATGTACAAAAAATAAAATAAAAACATTAAATATCATCATTTTCCTTCTGTGTTGACACATCGCATATAAAAATAAGGTTTCCAAATACTAGGAAAATTTTAAAAATGGTTGTGAATACTTTAAGGTTCTGCAAAATAAATGCAATAAGTACCAATCAGGTGTTGGTTCTATGAAAGTCTGATAAACACTTGATTTGGTGCTTCCGTTTCGACTATCAACCTCAACAGAAACACTGTTTTGTATTTTGGGAAATGTGTTTACTTTTTGTTTTTGTTTTTACTACAAGAAATCCTGAGTCATCTGCGAGTCGTGGTGGAACATATTTTTGACTATTAGTTAAGTCGGACATTTTATGAATGAAAACATTCACCAGAAAATATCTACTCAGGGAAGCATCAGGCAGGGAAGTTGTAATTAGTGCTGGAGCTATTATTAATCTGTTGTAGCTGGCGTTGTGTTCTGAAATGTTAACAGCGAAAAGGGAAAAAAAAAAAAATCTCCCTCTCATTAACTCTGCCATTGTTAAACAGCTGAAGCTGTCTTTTATTGAGAAATGCATCAGGATAATTGAACTGCCTCTCTGACCTCCTCAAAAAGCTTCAGACAGACTTTTGATGGGCCGGCAGGAGTTTCATTTAGGAAGAACAATTAGTTGAACTCTCCTGTGAGTTTAAATCTCCCCGCGGACCCAGCCAGCGTGAATCGGTTGTCACAGAGTCTGGGTTCGAAGTCCGACGGGGACGAAACGTTCGGCTGAAACCAGGCACTCATTTGCAAAAGGAGCTAATGAGGTTCTGGAGAAAGAGGATTTCAGAGCAGCTTCGTGGAACTTTTCACGGTCCGAGTCGCAGCTGCCGCTCAACCTTGTAATGTTGAGGTAAAAAGCAGAGAGAAAACTCAACAATGCTTTTAAACAAATTGGTTTGATAGCATCTGGCTATTGCATTCACACCAGCCCAGTTTGGTCCAGTTCGTTTGGGGAGGTGTGAATGCACAATCGAACTCTGATGCGGAACAAAAACGTGACAAACGTTGGTCTCGGTGAAGTGAACTTAAAATCTAGAATCCTTAAATTTGAAGATCTGGCGGAATTTAAAATTGCTCAAGTTACATTTAAGACATTGAATAAACTGTAAAAAGAGATCATACAAAATATATTTTTAGAAAAAGAGGAGAATATAATATGGGTGAGAGTTAGCACTAATGTGTAAATGTAAATTGAGGCTAACACATATGAGCGTGTGTGAATTTACATATTTAGACATATGTAAACTTAGTAACGGGGGTCCATCTGAAAATATGGTATACGTTTATGGGTTGGAGTTCATAAATTTCTCAATTCTTCCTACTCCTTTTCAAGCATGTTAGAATTATTATGGTACAAAAATATGTCTTTTGAAATTCCTTGTTCACATGTGTGTTATTTTATACTTCTATCATGTTGAAAATAAATAAATAAATAAATAAATAAATAATCTCCGGTGCAGTTGGAATGCAGAGAACGCTCCAAAAGCAGGAAGTGAACTATAGCGCAGGGCATCGTGGGTAAATACAACCAAAACCAACATGTGAGTCTTGCACCAGAGGGAGAAATGGCTTGTGGTCTTTAACCAAAAACAAAAGAGAAATCCTACAAACAATAAAATTTGTCCACATTGCAATTCTTTTGAAAATGTGTAATAATTACTTTATGTATTTTATTCAAAATGGGAAGTTACTATTTACTATTAGCCACTTCCTGACTTATGAAGGTCAACAAAGTTCTTCCCTTTGTTGAAGGGCATTTTCTCATTTGTTTAAGACTAATTTATATCCGAATACCACTTCACGACAACAGTCATAAACATTTATGAAGACTCCTTCATGTTCATTACAAGTTTTGTAGTTAAATTAAATCCAACAAAATTAGCAATAAAGACACTGAAAAAAATCCCCTCCAGCGTCTCACCGTGGAGGCGACGTATCCCTCGTCCATCAGGATGTTTCTGGCGCAGTTGTTGATGTGCTTGAAGCGGTCGGGCCCTAACAGAATGCCTCCGTACCACCGAGACACGACCACCATGACATCCCGCACGTCCAGAATCTGCAGCGAAACAAACATGAGAGGCGAAGTGACTGCAAATTCCAGATAAACCGTCATGTCACCTCTCCCTGGCAGCTGAATATTTCACACCAGATGTGTTATAGTGGATAGATTGGAATGAAATGTTTCAGTCGCAGCTGCCAATCTAAAGCCGGGGGTCTGACAATCAGAGCCGACGGGATTGAAAATGTTAAATATTGTCATGATTCTGAGATCTGCTTACGGTCCGAGAACTGTTTACTTTATAGCAGTGGAAACCAAAAATGTTACCAACCTCTGAGCTCAGGTTGATGTCTGACTTCTGTAATTATCAATAATTTAAACCAATAATTAATTATCAACTACATTATTAATACAACGGTTGGAAAAACAGAGGAAAGTACCCGTCTCGTCGAGAAAGGAAGAGTTCGGCACAAGTCTCCGTAGACGCATCAAGAGACTTCTCGCGTCTCTATGGGAACGCAGAAAAGTGGCGTACGCAAACCGCTTTTCTGGACGTTCTCCAGTGAACACTTTGAAGGTTTTTGAAATAAATCTTCTTCCTGTCCAGCAGGTCAGAAGGAAATGGCTCAGAGTTTCTCTCGTGTCTCTGTTGGACTCCAATGACAAAGGCTTTGGGATTCAGGTCTTGCTCTGGTAGTGGAGAGCAGTTCTTATCTCATCAGCTCTGAGTTGTTTGATTGTGGCACAAGGAACGCCCGACGATGCAGTTCGGATAATCTTTGAGCAAAAATGAAATACAACAATAGCGGGTTTGAAACAAAAAGCTCACAGTTTTCAATGTATTCTTCCTTTTGCAGTTGATCTGATTCGCCGTTATCTTCAACAACTAATTGACTCAAAACTTTTTTTTTTTTTTTTTAACCAGTACCATGTTGAAATACCGCTGTAAGACGATGCTGCCATCAGGGAAAACTGCTGACAAAATGGTTCGCAACAATTCGCTCTCTCAGGGACAAAAAGGTAAATTTTCCAAAAATAAAAAACCGGGAAGGGTGGGGGGCACATTTTGCTCTGAGCCTCAACACAAACAAAAAGTGCAATCTGTGACTCGAGGGGGATCCATTCACATCTGGCTGAAAGCACGCCCGCGTGAATCAGATCCATCTTTATTCATCACCGAACACGTCCACATTCACTTGGCACGAGTCTAAAGGAGGAAACGGGTGGCGGCGCTAGAAAGGGAGCGATGAGATTGGAGAAAACAAGCCCGAAAGAAGAGATCTCTTCTAGTAAATGCCTCAGTACCTCGAGAGTGCCGCAAGTAGAACATTAACCAGAGTGTCGTGAAAGATGGGCTGGAAGACCTGATGCTATCAGGCCGTTACAGCAGAAAGGTCAGAGCCTGATACAGATGAGATAAGTCCGTTATTTCCTGGTTTTATTTGTGCTTGTGTTAGAAAAAAAAATGCCGTGGAGTGTAAAGAAATGATAAAAAAAAAGAAAAAAAAGAAAAGAAGAGCAGAGATGTCAGGCACTGGTTTGGAAGTGGCTGTTTTATAATGAATCAATACCCCTAGCGGTAGCTTTTTTCCCTTTTATCCACCAAGGAACCAGAAACGATCATATTTGGGCAAAAGGGCCAATCTTTGTAACGTTGCAACAATAAACTGCACATTGAGCGCAAAAGTGATCAGCATATTAATCACTGAGGCTCTACAGACAGATGAGAAGAATGAAATGAATTTGCATTTTAAAGACAGAAAAAGATGCTGCTTGAACACAAGTCCATTTTGTTGATAGTTAACGTATGCTTCTGAATATTTCCATTTCTCTCTTAAAGGGGCGGTATTATATATTTTCCATTTTATAGCGCAATCAGTAGCTATAAAAGATACTCTCTATACCAAATATGACTTAAAAGAAATTTGACTTTGAAATTTGACGCTTTGAAATTGGGTCTCTGTCTCTTTAAGAAGCTCCTGCTCTATCAGGCACTTCGCCTCTCGTACGCCATCACAGCGAAGTTCCCCCAATAAGACGCTTCCAACAATTCTCAGATGTGTTGGACTGGGAAGTGGTTCAGAAAATGAGCTCAGCAGACACGTAGTTCCACCATGAAGGTGTTTGCTAATTGCTGCCACTAGTCTGAAGGAGCTGAGTGGAGGAGTCTCTCATTTAAGCAATTAGAGAGTGAGCTTCTACACTTTGCATAGTTATGTATTTATTTTTAGCTGATTCATATGCATGTCTCTTTTTGGGTTCATCACTTTGAAAATGTCACAACAGAATAATAAAACTTCCCAAATCCTGATATGACTTTAGGTTTTGGTTTCTCAACCCAATATGTGTCGGTGGCCACCACCAGCCTACCGCTTTAAAACGGTGAGATTTTGTGATTCTCAAAAAGCACAACATGAAGTCTAACATGAAGCGAACACTGTGAACTCCCTCCCAAACATCTGCTTTCCTCCGGAGTCCCGTCTCTGGCCTAATTCCTTCATTTTGCTTGGCCTCCCCTCCCTGCCAACCTCTAATTTCTGCTCTTTAGCAGCGAAAACGCTCCACCGTGTTTACAGCCTTATCACTAACTCTACCTGTCGTTTATTGAGTGTTTGGCAGGAGACAGACTACATCTGGTTTTCAGAGCTGGTGTATGATAATGAGGCACATGAGACAGCAGCGAACGTGAGCTGGAACGCCGCACGGAAAGAAAAAAAAAAAAAAACAATCGAAGGAGACGCCGAGCTTCTGCGCCAACCTGCAGACTTTGATAATTCATCCCCTTCGTTTTCCAGGATCACGTACGAGCTGCGGAGGAAAAACAATGAGATCGGATTGTGCAAACGAAGAGTAACGTCACGTTCAGTTTATCCTTTCACGCCAGTTCTCCGAGCTCACTTCAGAGTACTGGATCTGCTCTAAAACATGTCTTGGTGTTCGGGAGGCGAACAGCTTGATTCATCTGAATTCAGTGGAGACTTTGCAACGACAAGCCGACCCGTTCATTCACAGGGATTTCCATCTGCAGCAGGACGCACACCCCCCTCTATCTCCACCCAGACGGCTGCCGTCACCTCCTGAATGAGTCTGAACTCTAGCGAGAGTCACGGACCTCATCTGGAAGAGCTCTGACACCACGCAGCACCTGCTGGTAATGAGAATGACAGAACCGCTCCGAGTCACCGCTGAGCCTGCATTACGGCGAAAACTTTTTTTTTTTTCTTTTTTGTTTTGTCACAAACCTCACACTGGCTTTCATTCAACGTTACAGGGAAACAAAAAGTGTGAGGACAATTGGACGTTTTTAGTGCGATGTGGGAGTGTGTGTTTGTGTGTGTGTGTGAATCACGGTGCCATCTGACAGCACAGCCAAGGGACAAAACGCCTGTTTGATATCAGAAATAAAGGGATTAATAATGGAGACCAAACTGGAGTGAACAAATTCCTAGCCAGAGAAACTTTGCATAATGCCTCGGTGTTGGTGTTTAAATTTGCATTCATTCAATTTCTCTGGAAGGACGAGCACAAAGCTGAGCTGAGAGCAAAATCACTTGTAATTTGCAACAACAGCAAAAAAGTCTCCGACTATCCCTTGCTAATAGGAAAGACGTTTAATGTTACATTTATGAGATTTTACAAAAACATGAGTGTTTGACTTTATTGAGCTTCATTCGAGTTCTGAATGTAGAAGAGTTGCTATTCTCACACATTTCCTGAATCCATCTCGTCAAACATGCTCCCGTCGCTCTTTGTACATTAAAACTTCCTTTGGACATAAACAAAAACAAATGTAAACGTAAATACAACAGCGTGACTAAATCCCCCAATGTGGAAATCAATAAAACCGGACGGTCTTAAGCAACATGCGGGATTCATCAAATTTCAAAACTTGAAGTTGTACCCACTTTTTCTTCTCTTCTCAAAGTTTTTGGTCCTATTGGGAGTGGGGGACGGGGGGTCCGGGGGGGGGCAACAACACCAGACAAGGTGAGAAATGCCACGCCTGGTGAAACTTGTCAAAAGTAATAAGATATTATGGTAACACATACTTTGGGGTGAACTTCAAGGTGCTGATGGAGAGAAAAGAATATGTCAGTGAGGCTGAGTTTTTCAGAAGTCAGGACAGGGAGGGATTCTTTGCTCTGTCAATGGTGCACAGGCTGGGAGGAGTTCAATAGATCCACGGCAATATTTGATCATATATTTATAAAACAGAGCTTAGTACATATATTTATACAACTGGTTGTATAAATATATGATAAAGTATATCATATATATAAAAAAATATATATCCGCTTGCAGTGCAACTTGAAGTAGTGCAGCTAAATAATGAAAAAACAATCTTGATTATAGTCCTTTTTTAAACATAGAAAAAATATGTTAAATTCTAAAAACTTTCATTTTAAACCAACCTGTATAAAGATATATCTGTACTAACATCGGTATCAGCCAATAGTCATTTTTAAACGTATCGGTATCAGTCCGATGAATAAACCTGTGCCAATGATAAGAACTGTGTTTCCATCTGGTCTGCATTTCTTCCTGGAGGGGGACAATGTTAGTCATGCAGTATTTGTTTGGTCGTGCAGCAAGTTTTCATGTCGGTACATCTCCAGCTCGAAGTGCAAATTTCAGGTAGTTGCATAGATTTGCTGTGTTGCAAATTGGTGCCAACATCTCATATGTGCAACTCCTGCACATCGTGTGTTTTGATCAGGATCTGTTTCTCTTTACTGCTTAGCAGCCAAAGCTGAACGGCAAACTGAAGTAACTGCACAGCCCCTTTCCTAAAGAGACCTGAGGCACAACTTGGAGGTGTGTGTGCTTCAATTTTCCATGTCACATTCTCTCTTCAAGGGCACAGAGTTCTAACAACATGTCAGATTTTTATTTCACTGTGCCAAAATCATTCCAACAATTTAGGCTTGTTGGAGAAATACCAGCACTGCTTAGGGCTAATGATTTTAGCATAAGGCTTGAACTTCTTCATCGGGGCAATAAACAGACCTGCACACCTCTTAATTTCTGCAAGGCAGTGTATGTCTGAATAAAACACCTGACATCCAATGGAAAAGAGTCAAAGAACTAGAGTAAATTTAAACGCTACCATGTAACTGTAATAAAATTGTAGCTAACGATTAACTACTAGCTCTAGCGAAGGCTGTCATCGCCATAGCAACACATATCAAGAAGTGGATATGGGTGATATTTATATTAAAGTAATATTTTAGTTTGGCATACATTTCACAGATTGCTACCTTAAATAAGTGAGTGGTGTTGTTTTTCCTGACCTAAAAAACCTGAATGTACCAATTATCTTTAGTATTCAGGACACATCTGCATGTTTGCTTCTGAAGAGGCAGCACAGACCAGAAACTGGAGCAGCCAAATCTAACTCTGTCATTATTACAATTATCATTCACACTGTACCTTTCCAGTTGTCACGTATTGTAACAGTAATAAATGGGCCTAATGTACTCTTGTTAGAATTAATTTATGTTGGAAGTAGATGGTCTTTTTGTAAGATAGATAGATTCTCATCTTAAGGTAGAACAAGAAGAAGAAAAAATCCAGTAGCTGTGTTAAAATCCATAACCATTCTCAACTGTTTAAGATTTCATTTATGCTTCATTCTTCAGGTCTCTTGAGAGGCCTATAACTCCAAGATAAATCAAACAACCAGAAGTGTTCAGCTTTATGTTGCAGCGCACTCTGGAGAGCTGCTTACTGATGACAAACCCCGAGTAAAAGTCGCAGCAGACGCCAAATTATGCAGGCTGTGAAAATTACCAGGCCAGCTCAGAACAGACAGCAATTAAACATGCAAAAGCCACAAGAAGCTGAATGTGGCCGGCAGATTTAACAATTGGAATGCGATATCAATATCGAGTGAAGAGAGAAAAAGAAAAAAAAGATTTAAAAAAAAAAAAAAGCTTTGTGCATCCTGCGCTGGGAATAATTTCAGTCGACTCTTTCGGGAGCTTCGCATCAAAGAACGGCGGCCGCTTGGCGTGCGGCTGAACGGCGGGCGCGGGCCGGACGAAAGTGATAACCTGCAGCAAGTGAAGCAATCTCCCCCCCGCGGCGGTCTCGCCGTCATCCTCGCAGTCCTGCAGGAAGCTGTGCTTGTCCTCGCAGTAAATCCTGCAACAGAGAGGGGGAGAAAGATACCAACGGCTTGGCATTAGGTTGGCGGACGCTCAGGTCAGAGGGTGACACCGTGACAACCGGCGGCGGCGGTCTCTTCACAGGAGAAACTTCGCTGAGCAGTCTAAATGTCAACATCTCTTTTGCCCAGTGAGTAATGGCCGCCCAGGCAGTCCGACGCTGACCTCATCAGGCCCTGCACGGACACATGCGTCAGGAGACACAAGCACACACACACACACTGCACAGCCACAGTTCAGGATGTGTGAAGGGAAACTCTCATGTGCTCCAGTACTGTTTGACTTTTTAATGCAGTAGTGGTCCCTGCAGAAGAGCAGCTTATCTCATTTTCCTCTCCACTAATAAGACAAACTGTAACACTAACTCCAGGATGAAGGGCTAATTTAAATATTAAGCTCACCACAAATGTTCCGTACAGAATTCGCTTTGGTTCAGAAGTTAATTCGGCGTGAGGAGGAGACTCTGTGGATTCAGAGCCTCCGTTTCCATGGGGAAAGATGCAAAAAGCTACAGCAGCACAAAAACACTGAAGTTAAATAAATTATGATTGATAACATCAGACAGATTGTACACAAACTCTAACGAGCCCTGACGTGAGTTGACAGGTTCCTGCAACGAGTTTTGGCGTCGTGGCACACAATCAGAGGCCTTTCTGTCAGCAGAGCGAGCGGCGTCGTTACAGAAGTTACATTTATGAAGGATAAACAGGAACAGAGCAGAGAAAAAGGTATTCGCCCCTTCATAGATTTGGTTTCTTTTTGCTTTTTTTGTCACGATGTGTATTTTCTTTTTACATAAAAAACTTTAAAAGAAAGCAATTTTCATATTTATAAAAGCTGCAACATGAAAGGTTTTTTTATGTTTCTTTTTTAAAATATTTGTTAAATCTATCTCCATGTTGTGACAGTATAAGACAGATAATGTGTGAAAAAATGTAGCTCTTCTGCCTTCCACGTGAACAAATACACAGCTCTGTCAGAAACAACCAATCAATTTTAACGCTGTCAATAATCCTCGTGTATGTGTCGCTCACATCCTCCCCCAACAGCTAGCCATGAATTCTCAGGCTACTTAGCTGATGATGATGATGATGATGACAGTTTTCCTGCAGCAGTAACTTGTTTCTCTGGTATTGAGCACATTTAGCAGCACATACACAAGGATGACCAACAGCACTAAAATCCTCCTCTTGGCTCTTATTGGTTGATTTTGACCGGGAGCGGTGCATTTTTTCAAGCAAAAGTGACTCAGGAAGAAGGTGGAGGACCTGAATTTTTTCACACATTATTTGTCTTATATTGTAGGTTGTGACAGTTTTAATAAATATGAAAAAAAAAAAAAAAAAACCACACATTTCTGTTAAAGTTACAGTTACTGCAGCTTTAAAGAAGCTCCCAATTTAGGCACATTGAAGGGTTTTGGGGCATCAACGGCTTTTAAGTTTCAAGTCCAGACTTTGTTTTTTATTTTCCCAAACCTTTAAGAGGTAGGCTTTCTTTTTGCCCTGCTGCATAAACCAATAACAAACTAATAACAGGACATTTTCCTTCACAATTTTCTGCTGCAGACCAAGAACTCTTAACTCTGTCAATTAAGGCAAGTCTTCTGGGAACAGAATAAACTAAAGAGTGCGAAACATGCAGTCTAAGTACTTTTGATGCCTCCTCGATGAATTGCCTAAGTACAAACCCTCAATGCGGTTTGCCGGCTTCCAAAACTCTCGAGACTCTTTTTATTCTTTTGCTATCAACTCTGTTTCTTGAGATGGGGGCATGATGTTTTGCCTTTTAGCTTGCTTCATGTTGTCAGATTCAATTTAAGTGACCTATCGATCGTCACAGGTGCGGTAAAAAGGCCCGACTGCTGCTGGCGAGATTGAACCGAAGAACGCTGCAGTCACACTGGAATTTCAACACAGCCTGTAAGCAATCATTTGAGATTTAAGAAAAAGATGTGAAATATATTTTGGCAGTGGGTCGGATCGGCTCAGAAGGCTTTGTTGTTTACTAAATGAGGTGCATTTTGTGTTGACTCAGCTTACATTCGTCTTTGTCTGATATTAAAGTGTTTGACGATGTGAACGACTTGCACGTGGAAAAGGCAAACAGGAGTAATCTGTGGGCAAACAAACAGTTATATTTTACTGCACTGTTTTGTTAAAACTGATATCAGGAGAGTGAATCGTAAAGCTGCCTGATGCAGCAGCCCTCCATCTATGTTGGTGCGTCTAAAAGTGCGTTTCATGTGGATCCACTGCAAAGAAATCAGCGTGTTGCTTGTGACGAGGCTAGTTTTGTGCATATTTGGATAAAAGCGCAAAATTTTACAGAAAGCTGTGGCGTACTGATGCTAATTTTGGCTTCATTGCACTGAATGTTTTTTGTTTTTTTTGTTTCTTCCATATCTGATGATCACTTTGTGAACCCTGAGCAAACAACCGGCAGCTTCTCCTGAAGCTATGTATTGTTCACCACAAAAATGTAAGGCAGATAAGTGCTAGGGTAGGTGCAACCGTAATGTTTACCTTTGTGATACGACATTTACTGCCACTACATTTTAATCGGCATCATGCAAAACACACAAATCGGCCTACTAGGTAGCTTTTATCCAATCCAGCCCGTACTATCAAGTAAAAACCATAAATCAATTAACTTCAGGGACGTTTGGTATTGGTACGAAACGGGCCAACTGCTTTACGGAGTCCAGCTCAGACACTGTGCTTTATAATGCAGCTTTCTTTGTTCACTCATGAAATTGTATTTTCCACCATGTTTACATAGACACCACCAACCTGTAGGCGTAAATATTATGAGTGGCACTGGCAATCTTCTTGTTTTCATAAAGTTTCTCCAGGACCATCTTCACCTGAAACACATAGGGAAAAAAAAAAACAAAAAAAAAAACACAGTAATGAGTGACGGCTGCTGGCATTCGACTCCGTCCTCTGTTAGCTCATTGTTGAGTTTATAAAGCGCTGTGGTACGGCCAGGAGCGTTGAAGGAATGCTACCTGCAACACTGCGGTATGAATAACCTCCGACTTCAGCCTGCCGCTGCTGACTAATGCAGATTAGTCAGCAGCTATTTACATCAAACACTAAGCTGAAAGGCTAAATACCTCTTTTGGGTAAAAACTAGTAAAATCAAACCTGTTGCCCATTTTTAATACTGTATAATAGTTACATAGCATCACATGTTCTGCTTGAGCCTACAAAAAAAGCAAAAAAAAAAAAAAAAAAAAAAAACCTGAGAAAGACTTTACTGAAGTTACATCACTAAAGTCATGTGAGTTTTCAAGAACTGAAATGATCAACTATAGATACAGTAAGTAAAAAAAGACAAGTTGTGAATTGAAATGTTTCCTTAATCTTCTTTCTTTTGCTAATCTGGGTGATTTATTTACTTCTATATTTTTATTCCAGACTCTTTCCTACAGCTGCCGTGTCAACCAGCACTTCAACAGTTCATTTTAACCTGAAATAAAATTAAGCAGAACATCCCTTTAAGTCCAGTCAACTAGAACTTCTTACAAATCAATAAAATTACTAGCAAAAAGGCTGAGTTATCCGTGGAAAGAAAAATGAAAACTCAAAGACAGAACAAGATGGCCAAGGCTTGTCGCCACATCGTGCAGATTTTCAGCACAGAACAAAACAGACGCTGGGAGGAAAGTTTGCAGAAAATCTGGACTTCTTGGACAGAAGGGAAGTGATGAAGTGATGGGGAGAATAATCTTGACACACTTGTGTGTAGAGCGGCTTCCACAAAGGGGTCGTGTGTCACCGCCTCCAAAAATATACAACAGCTCAGAGTCCAGAAGCACAATCAAAAAAATGACATTTTTGGGTCTTTCTCAAAGAAAGAGTCATTTCCATTTGGACATGAGGGAAAACAAAAACAAAAGTCCATTTACGCACGATCTGTGGACATGGTGTCAGAGTTTGAGATACTTTCAAGCAGCTTCTGCCTGAAAAAAACTAAAATATACTGCAGCTCCAACTGTGGTGCTGACAGATGCTGCAATGTTTGGAAGATACAAAATACAGCAAAATCTAATAATTGTTGAAACATGTCATGCAAATGAGAACCAGTTAAGCAAATTTTACTCGCAATATAATTTAGGGGTTTGTAGTTTCCCAAGTGACAAAGAAGTCCCAAGTCAAGTCCAAGTCCTAAACTTTTCATTTTGAGTACATTACTAATGAATAATTATTAGCCTTGATACAATCAAGTATGTTCTCCTTATAAACATCAGAAAGTTGGTGCTGATGTTGCTTTTCTACAGTACATAAGTAAAAACAAATTAGAAAAAAGCAAGCAGAAGTTTCCTCGCAGAATGTAAATCGAATAATTAGTTTAGTTTATTTAAATGGGACACTGTGCAAAAAAAAAAATAATAAAATAAACATTAACAAAGGATGCTTTACATCAGATTTAGCAGGAGAGAAAATAATAGTCTGGAACCATAAAACATAATATTGAAAAGCCATAATATGGCTCAATATACAGTCACTGTACAAAAATACAACAAAAACAGCATTAAATACCAAACTTCTGTTCTATGAGCACTAATGCCAAGATGGCAGATTTTATTTTTTATTGATAATGATAAAACTGATCCACAGTAAAATAGAATAGAATAGAATATTCATGTTAATCAACAGTACAAACCTGCTTTCACATAGTATCAGATCATTAAAAAGAAGAAATGGAAATGTTCATTCAACTGTATAAAATCTTTGTGATCAAGTGGATTTTTTTTTGGACAGAATTATGCTGCTACTTTCTGCTCAAAGCACTGCGATATTTTTGCCATTTGCATCTTTTTGGATTTACAAAACAAACACAAACTCAATTTCAAGGATAAAATTAACCAGCCATATAATCTTCCATTTATCAGTTTGTGAGAGTTTGAACGTCAAAAAGAAGTTAAGATTATTTTGCTTTTCCACTGTAGTTTCCAGCACAAAAGTTTCACATACACACATTTATCCATATAAAACATAACTTGCAGGGACCTCTCTAGCTTACAGCATTTTGTGTTGGATGCCTCACCAAACACAATGCCCAAACATTTGTGGCAGCTCTGGCATCCCGTACTTGGTGTTGGATACAGCTTTCCTGCCGCCAGGCTTGCAGTCGACGATCAGTCCCGAGGTACGTTTTTCTGTCTGCATTTAACATTTACTGAGAGAGCCTAGCTTCTGCTGAGGCCCAGGATGGGACCCTGCTCTCCTCCCTGACGGCACTGGGTGACAGAATGAATCATAAACCGTCGGTGTAAAAGTCCCAAGTCATGTCCTAAGACTTCTGTTATCAACTCGACTCCAAACTCATTCAATTTGTGACTTGAGTGCACAAGTCTCTGACATAATTATTATTAGCTAACGTCACTATCACTTACCAAAGACGTTAAGCCAGAGACGCACCGACAGCTCAGCTGTTCTGCAGAGCTCATAAGCACCAATTCTAACACAGAAATTTACAGCAATCTTGGGGCATCTGTTCACCAGGACGCTAAGATAAACAACAGCATTTGTGTAGCTACGCCGTCTCCCTGTACAAAAAAAACTCTAAGTAAATGAGAGGAGTGGGATCAAACATTGATATGGTGAGACGTTTGTGGAATCTGTGCAAAACAAAACTGATTCGTATGTCGCCAGCCGCGGTGACGCGCCGCTGCTGTCCCTTCGGTGAAGCTTTGAGCAATCTGTATATTTAATTGGGACTAGTAAGCCGGCCCCAAGAGAAATCAGAAAGAAAAAAAAATGGAAGTAGAGATTTGATGAAAAGTAATTCACAAGTTAAACTAAATTCTGCAAACTTTTGGCAGTTACATGAAAACACGTGTTAAATACACACATTTGCAACAATTAAGTAATAAACTGGTTTTCTGATAGGTAAGAAATGGGTACAAATTAGCTACAGGGTGAATTGAGGCAGAGCTGCCAGCAGCATGCAGCATTTGTGTTGCAGTACATGGCTTTTTACAGCATTAATAACATAATATTTTTAAATGCATAACTTTTTGGCTATTTTTTGTTCTTTTTGCAACCAAGTCAGATTTCGCTCAAAAGTGTGTTTAAAACAAATGAAGGCTCCTAAAATCCTTCTGTATGTACAAACTTTGTTCCAGCAGCGCCATTGGCTGGAAGAAAACTTGGCTGAAACTGAACCCCATCGGCTCCATTCACTGTTTACCACATATAAACACCTCACTGCTTTAATTAAAGAAGGTGATATATATATATATATATATATATATATATATATATATATATATATATATATATATATATTTTATTTTATTTTTTTCCTTTCAAAATTACTTTAGCAGTTGTAGCACTTAGCGCTTCAAGAACATTCCGTGAAAGCGTGAAGCCTGCCCCGGGTCTCCATCATCTCGGTTTGTGGCGTCCCGGCAGGACAGCTGCATCTGCTAATATTTTTGACCAATTAGCACTTTGCAGCAGGTGGGAGCTTTTAAGACGAGCCAAAGTGTAAGATTAATATGCAGGAAGTGGAAAACAGATCCTGTTTTACTTCAGTCAGCGGCATAAATCAAAAGATTTAGACAAACTACAGACAGTTCACAAGTTCCCACTAGGCGTCATATACCATTCCGGCTAGCTTTTAGCCACTTTAGCTCTACGACAGGGCTTCTTTCTTTTTTTTTCCTTTTTTTTTTGTTGTATAAATTACGACATTCTTTTCTTGTATGTCGTAAACGTTACTGTGCATGTGTCGTACCTGTCTTGGCGTAACCACAGGTGCCAAATGGGGCTGGAAGGTGCTGCGTCGGTCTGTGATGGGGCTTCCATGTTTTATCGGCGGTATCTCTTCATCTGTAAGAGGGCAGCGTCGCACATAATTATAAAAACTTTTATCGGAAACGGAGCAGGTGCCAATTTAAGTGAGCCATACCGTTTGCCTGATCCAGGAAGAAGTGGGTTTTCTCTACGGTATCCTTGAGAACGCGCAAATCAGGAACATCTTCATCGTCGTCCTCCACGTCCTCCTCTGCAGTTACATTCACTTTTCCTTCTTGAATGACTTAAGAGGGATTAAATAAACGTGAGGTATTAATATGAGCATGAATGTGGCAAAAAAAAAAACTAAAAAAAAAGAAATCACATTTTAATTAGCACAGTGATTGTTAATTATGAGCCCTGAGATTAACAATTACATGTAATTCAAACCAAATTTTTCCATCTGAAGTGAAATGATGCTAAGGCAATGAAAATTAATAAATTAATAAAGTCAGCTGACAATCTATTCCAGGATTATTTACGCAAAAACATAGCGCGATCCAAAAGTATTCACACCGCTAAAACATATTAGGAGTTTGTCACGATCCGGCTGGAGACTTTGTTTTTTTTTTTTGTTTTGAGTTTGTTGTGATATACTAACACTAAGTAGAGCTCAACTGAGGTGGAGAGAGATCCATGGTTTAGTTTCAGACAATTAAAATTAGAAAATATTTGCCATGTTTTTTTTTTTATTATTATTTTACCTGCAACACTCTGATATCCCAAAATAAAATCATACAAAATACTGCACTCAGGCGCTGTCAATCACAAGCATGTAAGAGCTGCAGCTGTGCTAATGGCGGAGAAACACTGCAGGAAAAGTCATCTGCTGTCATCGTTGGCCATGCTAACTAGCATTAGCATCCGCACCAGTCTCTGGTGTGGCAAAGAAACTGCAGCACAGCAGAAGGAAAAGGGGAGGGTCTGAGCAGCATGTACACAAGAATGATTTACAGCACTAAAAACACTCCTCCTGGCTCTGATTGGTTGTTTCTGACTAAGTTGTGGATTTCTGCAGATGGCTGTAGTCCTACACTGGGAGCAGGCAGAAGAGTCTGGTTGTTTCTTACAGAGTATCTCGTGTTGCACCGTTACGACACAGCGACAGTTTTAACAAATGCACAAAAAGAGTGAACTTGCATACAGGCCAGACTTTTCAGATTTGTATTTATAACATACTGGCGTATTTTGTGTAGCTTCATGCTGCAAGGATGGACCAGTACGAATGCTTCTGCTGGCGGCCTTGTGCAGTTTGGATCTGACCGCACAACCACGAAGACTTCAGCAACGCAAGCGTGAACAGCGTGATTTCTCCAAAGGCTCAGCTGCTGACAGCTAATATCACATTGATTATCCTCATTGTCTCCATGGGGTTTGCACAAAGAAACGTCGAGATGTTGGAAAATAAGTCCATTTTATGAGATTATGTTTGTTATTCTCAACAAACCCCATGAAAACATGAAATGTGACAGTTAATTAGCCCGACCTCCTCCTCCCGCTGCTACTTCCCTCCCTCCCCGCCCAACTTATTTGAAGCTTTTGGCCGCAGATGTGCTTCTCATTTCTGAAGGTGTAAATGCCACACTGCGATCAGGTAATGCTACTTAAAAAAAAAAAAAAAACCTAACTGGGACTAATTTAAAGTGTGGATTAACACACATTTGCGGCGCAGTGCAAACGCGCGACTCGCCAACATGCTATTAACACCTTTTTGGAAGACAGTCAAGGGCGCTGGAAGGGAAGATGCAAACGCAACATTATCATAAAAAGCATGTACCTTTCAGGAAGAGAAAAACCTCCCAAAAAAGAGGTCAGAAAAACAAGGCTGCACGCGGCCTGGCATGCATAATAGGATGCATTATAGCACGACTATTAGAACTTGAGGACAAAGAACATGCAGACACGAGCGCTAATGTCATTCATCAGCCCCCGTTTGAGTAAACGCTGCTAAAACTTACACGGCCGCCAGGAAAACAGGAAATGACAAATGTCCACTGCAGATCTTCCCATGTTTACCCTCATAATGAAAAGCTCAGTATTTCTTACAGTTTAATCAACACACACACACACACAACAGAGAGAGAGAGAGAGAGCGCTCGACAGAAACACACACACACAGCCAAAATCCATTAAAAGTAAGTGGGTTTCATGTTCAGTTGAACAAATATTTGTTTTCCGATGTGGTTTTCTTTTCCTTCTCCTGCTCATCATTTTGCTTCAGTGTGGTCTGATTCATCCAAAACTTCATCATCAAACCCTTCATGTCCCTCCTCACTTTTTAATGTGCCCCGTCATCTCTTCTGCTTCTTTTTCCATTTCCTTTATTTTTCTGTCAAATGTGCAGCTTCGGCCTTATTGCCGCTCCTCTCTCTCTTTCTCTCTCTCTCCCTCCCACCATGTGGCTGTCATCTGAATGAATAAGCCAACGGTCTGAAGGGCCGCGACCAGTTACACTTATTACCACATGAATCACCAAAAAGATGGCTTATGACACACCACAATGGGGAGGCGGGCTCGTTTTTTTTTTTTCTCTTTTTTTTTCGTCTGGCTTGTTGCTAAAAAGGTATAATGTTCTGTAGGAGCATGGTGTCAGATAAGGGAGACAGAGGGAGGAGACACTGACACCCAGAAATGCACCTCGTTTAGCGGGTGAAGCCGGAACCGAGGAGCCTTTTAGCACCGCGTTTTACGCCAGGGGGAAAAGGCTCCACCGAGGCAACCGGGTGCATTATGAAGATACGGATCTTAATTCAGTGAAGTCACTCAAAGCGTGGAGCATTTTTTTTTTTTTTTATACAAGGGCTTTGTGTTCTCCTTATCGCACCTTTAGATCCTCACCGGAAAGATACGCCGGTAAGGAAGGGAGGAGAATCTAGATGAGGCTTCACCTGCTGCTCGTAGATTTGTCTGGATCGAAAGTGATTATTTAACGTCTAATCATGTTTCAAATGTGCATTTTATGCAGCTAAACGGTGAAGCCAGGAATTTAAGACGGCAACGTAAACATTTCTCACCGTGTGACGCAAACTCAGATTGAACTTTTAGGTCATTTGGATCATTGAAATTATGCATTTCTTTGTAAAAATGATGAGAATATTTTGAGGTTTCTTCTAATTGAAAGGTTTACACACACTAAGATGGCTGTGACTCTAAACAAGTTTGGGAGAGCCCAGCTGACGATGTCATCGCTTTGTGAGGTTCTGATAGGTTCATTTCTGACATTCAAGTTAAATGGAGGCACACCTCAAACACTGCAAAATCACAACATGTTACGAAGGAGCTTTTGTTTAGCTTCTAATGTGAATTTCTTCGTACACTTGAAATAAAACAAAACTAACTTAGAAGAAACTTTTTAGCAACATATAGGAACCTGTCGTAAGCCAGTAATTATTTAACACTTATATAAAGTATTAGTTTATATGGCAGATGTTTCATGCATGATGCAACATTTTTCCCCATCTTAATAGTTTTTTTTTTTTTTTTAAATCTGCCAATGGAACTGGTACTTTTTTTTAAATCACTATTTGGGTATTATTGACTTAAAACAAACTATTGTATATTGCTAAGAAGTTACTTGTAAGTTAGTGATGTCTTTATTTCAGCTGTACCAAGATATTTGCACAAATTATGTCAAATATAGTCAAAAGTATGTGGGAAGATTTTGTGCAACATGACAGAAATCAAATCAAAACAAATTATCCGAGACATTATGAGGAGATATGTGGACTTCATCCAGCAAGTAGTTGAACTTCATGCCATTTGTAGAATAAAAAACACAGAGAAAAGGAAACTTTACGCTTCTACTCCACTGTTATGAACCACCGATCGTTGTGCACAACGGGACATAAACTCCCATCAAAACACATTAAAGTTTGTGGTTGCTATGGGTGAAGTTAACCCCCCACCTTCTTCAATTCAGACAAAATCGGTGTCAAACGTTTGTGCTATGTTTATTCAGCAAAAACTTTTCGTTTGTGCCGCTTGGGCTTTGAAGATATTAATTTAAGGTTAAAGGTCAAAACGTCAACCAGACTCCCCCCACTTTTATAAAATCAAACATAATAGGAGTCTATCAACTTGGCTACATTTGTGCTGGTTTGTGCAGCAAAAGTTTTCGTTTGTGCTGTTATCATTCTAAAGATATTAAGAAAAATGTTCTCCAGGGGTCATCAGATGTCAGCCACGCCCCTGCCCCCGCTCACATCTGCAAAAATAAATACAGTTGGTGTCAATCAGTTCGACTACATTTATGCTGGTTTGTGCAGCAAAAAATTTTCGTCAGTGCCGCTTTGGCTGTGAAGATATTAATGAAAGGTTAAAGGTCAAAAGGTCAACCACTTTTATGGAGGGAGTTTTGGTGGGCTGCAAAATTTATTTTGCTGCACAATCGCAGCACAAACGTTAGACACCAATTTTGTTTGATTTTATGAAAGTGGGGGTGGGGGCGTGCTGGTTGGCCTTTTGACCTTTAACCTTTCATTAATATCTTCAAAGCCAATGCAGCACGAATGAAAATTTTTTGCTGCACAAGCGTGGTCGAGTCGACTGACATCCATTTTGTCTGATTTGAAGAAGGTGGGGGGTTGGTTGACCTTGGATGACCTCTGGAAACATTTCTTTATATCTTTAAAATGATAGCGGCACAAACGAAAATTTTTGCTGCACAAAACAGCACAAACATAGCACAAACCTTTGACACCAATGTTGTCTGATTTGAAGAAGGGGGGGGGTTGGTTGACCTTGGATGACCTCTAGAAACATTTCTTTATATCTTTAAAATGATAGCGGCACAAACGAAAATTTTTGCTGCACAAAACAGCACAAACATA